TCAGGCGTGCCCGAGGGGTCGTGCAGGGGTCCTGTTACGGTTCCTTGTGTGCTCTCTCTTGGCAGGCCCCGCTGTTGGACTCGGACTTCCAGGGCCTCACACAGAACGAGTTGCAGATGAGAAAATGGTCGAAGTTCACAAGCATCCCTTTTAATTAGGCAAAGGGACAGAGGAGGGGCTGTAGCTTCACCAGGCAGAGCCGACGCATAGCGTGCCTTTTAGTGGGTTAGGAGGCAAAGCAGGTTGTGATGAGGCAGGTGAGCAGAGGGATAGGGAGAGAGTTCAGCATTGGAACGAAGCTCGGAGAAAGGTGGCCTTCAGGGCTGCCGCCTTTGGCCTGGAGGTAAGAAGCGTCTTACCGCAGGCAGAGCAGCAGGGCCACGCCTGAACTTAGGAGGCACTGCTTCAGCCTCGTGATGCTCCGCAGAAACACAGGGGAGTTCATTTAATGCTGCTGTGCATCAGATGACTTGAGGACCTTTGATGAAAAGAACCTGTGGAAAGTATTTTGTTTAAATTTTAATTTGTTGGGTTTTCTCTTCCACTTCTGTTTTTATTAAAAAGAAAACAAATTGCTGAGAAGCAGACTTTGTTCTGTTCAGAGTCAGAATTGTTTCTGTGAAAGGAAAGATTATGATCATGCTTTTGGAAGAGGTATTGTCCAGCTTATTTACCCAGTGGAAAGAGGATATGTTCTAGATGTGTTCTGGCAAATAATAGCAGTAATGCAGCAGAAAAGAGCAGACTGTTGCAAACTAAACAACTAAACCAGCCTGTGTGCCTGTTGGCCTCATCTGCTGAACAGACAGCCGGTAGAACGGCCCAGGAGTTCTTGTACTCACTTTCTACAGCTGAAATAGGACTTTTTTAAAACAAATTGTAATGGAATGAAATGGTTTGTTTTGAGACTGTAGCTCTCAATCTACTATTTCTTGGAAGGCAGTACTTTAGGATGGTGTCTGCATGGTAAGAATGATGGCCTGGTGGGCAAAACTGCAGGTGGTAATCATAAGACTGCTTATTATTTTGGCCCTATCATTTGTCTTCTGTGAGTCCTCAAGCAACTTAACTCACACCTCAATTTCCCCTCTGTAAGTAGGGTGTATTATTATACTTCTCTACTTTTCTGGGGGTAGTGAGGATAAAGTGCAGTGAGAGATTGCAAGGCACTGTGAAGAGTCCTGTGTGTTAGGGACGGAGGGGATCCTTAGTTGAGTAATCTTTGTGCTTCGGATTTTGTCTTCAGGAGGATGCTGTATGGAAGAGAGCAGGAGGAACAACCATCTAGTCTGGTTGAGTTAATCTAGAAGGCTTTAGGATAATGCTTTTATTCTAGCCAAATTTTACAACGTGTTTCCCTTCTCTGTTTAACCAGTTGTATCTTATATTTTCTATTGCAGCTGTTGCTGTGATATTCTCTGTTAACTGCTCCTTTATTAACAAAGCTTCTCGTCCTCTTGCTGCTGGAGTGTTTGCAGTAACAGACCTTTTGTCTGCTACATTGGAGATCCACTTTTGGAGCACGTCAATGGTTCCCCACTGGTTTCCCATGCTCATGCTGTTTTGGAAGCCTTGTGTGACTCCTGGCTGGAGGTTCTCTCTGCCTTAGTTGAAGGGGTGGTGACAGGACTGCAGCTGTGCTCAGACGCCCCTTGTCCTGGCTGGGATTGTGTGTGTGAAGGGGGAAATTAAGTGTTGGGAGCAGGGACATTAGTGACTCCATTCCAGCTAGAGGTGGAGGCTAATATATGCATCTAAAAATACCTGTAGTGATGCCTTGGTTTTCCCATGTAGTTTATCTCATGCTTTATATGCTTTGTTTTCTTTTCTAAAGTAGAAATCATGCAGTGAGTGCTGTGGACAAGTGTTGTGTGTTTGTCATTCTTGAGACAGACACGACACAGAAGCTTGTGAGCAAGAAGACACTTTTATTGTTCTAACAAGCCTTTTTATACCTTTTCTTAAACATGTGTGTCTATATATGATTGGCTTAGTCAAGGATCAACAATTCATGGTTGGGCAACTTTTTCTCTCTCCTGTAACTTCAGGAAACTTCCTTTGTGTTCCTCCCGGTGGTCTGGTAGTTCCTTCTGGCAGTTCCTTATCCTGTTTACTGTGCTGCTCTCAGTAGGTCCCAGCCTCTTGAAGGACACACGGTTACCTGCTTGCACTCCGACCCCTCAGGCCAGCTGAGGGTCCCACGTGGTGCTGTGTGTCCTGTGCATCTGGCCAGGTGATGCTCCTGTCAGTGCTGCAGGACAGAACCACTTCTTATGTGCACTGAGCTTTCCAGCTGTCCTGTGGCATCAACTGGCACAGTTCATTTAAGAACTGACAGAGTAGGGTTGGAGATTACAGCTGCTGTATGAAAATAAAAACCCCTCAGTGCTATGTTTGATGTTCCTACACTGGCGGCTGCTTATGCTCCATCCTTTTCAGTGTAGCCTTTGACGCTGCACGTATTTTTTCCTAATAGCTGTGAGGTGCCTCTGGAGGCTCTATCTCTTGCCAAGAGCTTGATTCTTTCAAATTTTGAAAGTAGGCATGGTAAGGTACTAGGTGAAAGACAAAGTTGCTGCTTTTCCAAGAGCTTTCTTCGTTTTTGAAAATCAGACTCTTCCTGACTTCCCACTTCACAGAACATCCAGGTTGTTTAATTGAGTGAGAGCCATCATATGCTCTCTAATATATTTTTGTAAAATTGAAGACTGAACAGTAGCTTCCTGTTTGAGAGAGAGTTTTCAGTGCTAAGATGTGCAAATTGCATTCTTCAGAGGGAAATCTGAATATGAAATAAGTGAAGATAAATGGCAAGACATGCTTTTCTAATGGTCTTTATTTTCAGTGTAACTTTGAGTATACTATGGGTATCTAATGTAATATAAATATTACCTCTAATGTTTAATAAATATTTTAAACACTGTAACTATATTCTTTGCTGTCTTAATGTTTTGTTTGGTTTGTGTTTTTTTTTTTTTAAGAAATATGATACTCTGTGCATAAATCATGTCTTGCATGGAATGAAAATAAGAAACTAGGATTTTATATTAATTTGTATCTGTTCGTTTTCCTGCTTCTTAATGCTTTTGGATGCCTCAGGGTGAAAACTTTAAAATTCTAAGCAGTTGAGGCAGGTCATAGTTCAGTAAGTTCTGTTCAGAAAGATTTATCATGCTCTAGTGGGGAAATGCCTCTTTTGGCATTATCTTTTTTTGTAAAGCATGTTTGCAGTACTATTCTAAAGGTAATTTTCACTGCTTTCTCATAAGCAGTGCTAAGAAAAAAAAAACACCTTTTTTCTTTCTCGTCTGTATGCATTATGGCATGGGAACAGTTTCAGATTTTTGAGAACTTACTAGGAATGCAGAGTAAGTAAATAGTACCTATGTTGAAAGCATCTTGTTTTGTCTAAATGGGAAGTGAGTCACTGAGTCCAGGTCCCCTACCATTATGGGAATGACATCATATCATTCCTCATAAGAATTCTTTCATTCTTAATGTTTTCTTAATCGAGAAAACTCTTTGTGACATTTACCTGCTTAGGTGTCAGAAAATGCTTATTCATTCCCTTTTTCATCTTTTTTTTTATTTTTCTGAAAAGGACTAACTAAAAATGTCTCAGAATCCTGACGAGCCACAGTCAAGTGAAGAAAAATTGAGTGGTTTGGAGGATGGTCAAGAGGAGAGCTTGGAGAACCCAGATCAGTCTGTCAGGAAAAGAATGCGGCAGAGTGCTCCAGGCTCACACAGAGGTGACAGTCCAAAGTGTAAGCCAAACTGCTTTATGGTTTAAAAAAAATAAATTTGTGAATTTTTTTTTTTTTTTTTTTTTTTTTGTGGCAACAGTTCGCAACAGTTCTAGCGTTTTATAGCATTCTGTGCAAGAATATCAAGATTGACAGTTTTGCAGTTAAATACTGCATGGCTCCTGATCGCTTGCTTTGAAACTGTTGTTAACACATTTTCCCCCATTTTGTGTTAGTGATTTATTGTCCATGATAACCACGTGTATCTTGAATACCTTTGCACGTCTGCACTGATGGGAAGAATAACCACCACTCCAGTGCTTTCTAGCTGAACCACTGCTGCTCTTTGCATTATCTGCTAAACCTTCTGCATTGTGGTAGCTTCTGCTTCTACTGCAGGATAAGGAGGGCTGTTACCAACTAAGTAATGTCCTGTCATGGAAGGTTGTATATTCAATCTAAATGCTACTACAGTCAAGCAGGACTGAATATTTTCAGGCAAAAATAAAATAAAATAAAATAACCTAGGAAGTTTATTCCTAAGGCATATTTTTCTTTGTCGTTCCACTTTTAACACAAGGAGCTCAATGCAGTATGGCTACCAATTACTTGTGGCAAATCTAGAGATAAAACAAAGGGGAAGTTTTCTGGTCCCAGGGATTCAATTCGAAGAGGCAGAAGTGCTCAGATAGCTACTTCCAAACTTCTGTAGAGTGTCTCAATATTTAACATTGTATTTGTTGCATTCCTTTCATTTTTCAATAGTGTTCCTTATTACTTGAGGTTTAGTGCCATGTTTGGTGTCATGTCAGAGGAGATGTTCTGAGAGAGTTCCGTTTGTTTGTCTTGCTGGTTGCCTGCCAGGAGATGCAGGGTGTGTAAGAGAGGGGCTACAAGCACATGAAAGTACAACGCCCAGCACAGTCTTGCACTGCCTTGTACCACAACACAGTGGTAGGTCTGGATCCCTCCCCTTCTGCAAGGGAGCAGGTACACTGTGAGATGAAGAATGTGATTTAAGAGAGTTCTTTGGGAAGTGAAAGCCCCTTAGATTTTAGTGCATCCATCGCTAGGGTGAAGTCACTTGGCAGTCAGACAAGAGCTTTCTCATTTAGCTGTGAACTTTGTTATCCTGCTAGTTCTCAGAATATCAATACTTGCTGTGTTCCCAGATATGCTGTGCAAGATAAAGGTCCAAGCAGAAGGAAATAAGGGTGTAAGAGTGCTGCATGAAAAGAGCAAGATATTATTGGATAATTAGCACATTATAAACATACTGTATATACGTGGAACAGCTCTGAATGGCAGACAAGTGATGGGCAGTTACTTTTAAAGGACCTTTTCTATGTTACTAGTTTTAAGTCCAGTTACACTGGATTATCAAATGAGGCAGACAGGATAGGTTGCCTAAAAGACATCTTAGTGAACTCAGCCTGTGAAGATCCATGGTTGGTTTCCTTCACTTGGGGAATTAGTACGTTGCTCCTATGCCTGAACTCTAATTGAAGTGAATGAACTACGGAGAGAAATCTATCCATTAGGGCAATTCTGTTGTGGCTCTTTTCCCCTCTTCTGCTTCACTAGATGTTTTCTGGAGGAGCCAGAATGAACCTTGCCATTCTTGTCTGCCTGACCTGAGGATAGTAATGATGTACCCTTCTCCTTTTTCTTAAACACTTAGGCCAGGGAAGAGCTGTGGTACTTCTGCTAACTTTTGGCAAGGCATTGCAGAGCACCCACACCCACTGCTGGCACTGATGGTAGCACAGCTAGGAGGAATCTCTACCACAAATAATCAGTGGCAACAGGTTTCAGTTCACTTCACTGGGGAGGGGGTGACTCCTCTAACCAGCATGGCCTGTGCCCTTGGGACCTTCTTTGCATTTATGTTTACTTGTTTTTGGGGCCGTGACACTTCCTGCCCTACAGCAATGCCAGTAGCATCCCAGGAGGATGTTCTGTAGTCTAGAACAATTAGGAACTGTAATTCCCAGTGCATCCAGGAAGCAAATTAAGTTTTCTGAAGCTGTCCCTGTCCCTCTTCTACCTTCTAGATTTATAAAATCAGTTGCTACCTTTGTCTTCCATATAATGAAAACTGGCCTGTTTTTTCAGGTTTGGCAGTTCCTCCGTCTTGCCTGTAGGTCCCTGGGCCCAGCTGGAAGCTGCTCACCCGTCCCTGTCAGTCCCAAATGCTTGCCAGAGGAACAGGGCTCAGGCATTGGTGCTGGGACTAGGTTTGATGTCCTTTGTTGCTTGGACGAGGGCCTCTGGGGAAAAAGAGAGTTTGGAGAAGTGCCAGTTGTGCTGGAAGCAGCGAGAAGAATTAGCTACTGGTGTGTTACTGCTTAATGCTAATGGCAGTTTGTTTGCTGACTGCTTTAGAAATGAAGTCACTTCCTTGAAAAAATTAAAATTGAAATGGCAACATCTGCACAATAATTGGAGAAATAGTGTGGTGAAAATACTAGTACTTACAATACTTTCTTCCTACGGTATGGAAAAAAAATGCCAAGAGGCTCTAAGGGAGTCCTAAAGAAGTGACAGTTTGGCTGTGAGGCTTTTTTGGTTTTGTTTTTTAAAAGAGCTTGATTGAACTTGGAAGCAATTGACATACTGAGCCCAGGGTATGAATGGGGGTTCACTCCTTGTTTTCTGTAATACTCCAAACCTGTGTCATCCACCACTGGGGAAGGGAAGGGGAGGAAAGGAGAAGACTCTTCAGACACTGTCTTTTGGCCCTCAAACTGTCAAGAAGCTGGAAAGGGTCCAAAAGTATTCTCAGACTTTTTTTTCCCCAGATTTCTATGGCTGTCTGAGAATTTAATTTATGTTGCAGCTAGTCCTCCTCAACTTGTGTCAATAGAAGAGCTCATGGAGACAGCTAAGGGAGTAACCAACATGGCATTAGCACACGAGATTGTTGTGAATGGAGACTTCCAGATAAAACCAGCTGAATTACCAGAACACAGGTAAGTAAGATTGCTACCAAACAGATACATAAACCTGTACTTTGGAAAGTTGGGTGCTCTTGCTCACTGATGCTGAGCAGTGGCTGTAGTTGTTCACCAGAGAGGCTGATCTGCATCTCTTTATCTGATCACAGAAACGGATGGATTGCAGAGGTCCCCTTGCTCAGGAGAGCCTGGGCTTTGTGATGGGGCAGGCCTGCTTTAGTAAAAGGGTCCTGTATTTGGCTTAGGTGAGGGTTTTGTACACAGCTCTTTACCACATGGAAGAGTGGTCAGTCAGAATGTGCTTGAAGAGGGCTCTGGAATCTTCCTTGGATTAAATGTGGGGGTTTTGTGTGACTAGAGTGTGTAGATAAGTGGTTGGAGCAGAAAGCACCTATGACTGTATCTGCAGTTGTAGACACTGTCAGTAGAGTACTGTATTGGCTGCTCCTGGAGTGCCCCAGGGCATTTACTCCTCAGCTGCACACTGAGAGAGCCTTGGGAACCTGCTGATCCCCATGGGCCTGCTTTGTGTGCCTGTACCTGTCATCATTATCCTGCTTCAGTGCTGAAGTTAACCTGGGTGTGAACAGGAGCCTGCCTGCTGAAGAGGAGGAACTTTCAGTGTTTTGAATTAGGATTTGGTACTGAAGTAGTAGAATTGGTTTTTTGGTTGTTGGTTTTTTTTTTTATATACAAATGGAACTGATCCTTTATCTCAGAGTAGTGAGGAAAATTACTTCATTTCTCTTAGGCTTACTTAATGAATGTTACTTGTTAGTAAAGGAATACAAATACTGGTCTTTTGAAGACAAGCAGTAGTTTTTGTGATTTCTTCTTTTTTCCTTCCAGTTGTTTAGTTTAGAGGTACCATATGATAGATAGCTTCAAGGATTTTAATTTGTAGCCACCTTTGCTTGTATGTAACCCTCTATTAGGATACAAGGCATTCTAAATCCTGTGTCCAGTTTTTCTTGCTTTCCTGTGCAACTCCAAATGACAGATCTCTTTTCAGTTAATTGTTATATATTCATTATGACATTATATTCATATTATTACATGCTGGTTTTCAGGAGCTGCAGGTTATCTTTGTAAGGTGGTGCAGGGACAAATCTTTTTAACTGGTCATATTTACCCACAGCTTAGAAAAACAAGTAAGAGATATTGTGCATAAAGCTTTCTGGGATTGTCTGGAAGCTCAGCTAAAGGAAGATCCACCGACCTATGACCATGCAATTAAACTGCTTGGAGAAATTAAAGAGGTAAGAGGATGTGATATCAAGATAAATTATTGAATTTGAGTAGCTGCATTGATATATATGAGCAGAAGTGGTTGAAGTTTGGCTTTTCTTAAAGGACTCTGTCTATCTTTTTTGTTACTGTATCGCTGTCTGTGAACATACCTAAGTTGTCCGTAAGTTGTATAACCCCAGAGGAGAAACTTGAATGTATAAACAAATGCCAAACCTGTAAGATGATTAAAAGGCAAGTAATACTAGTTTCCTAATTCCAGGCTTCCTTCCTGTTAGAGCAGTGGTATTAGTGACAGGATCCGTGAGATGCCCCACGCTGGGCTGACAGAGCCAAGGACAGGAGTCTGACGTATGTACTACAGAGTATTTACCACTCAGTAACCTCAGTACCACCAGAATGAGGTGAAACATTTGGAGCTGGTGAATGGTTGATGTGTTTTTTTAAAAAAAATGAGATTCCACTTGTAAAGGGCAATTACTTTAAATAAAAAGTGGTTCAGTAACTGTTTCAATCTTTGTAGTCTTTGATACGTAGAACTAATGCACTGTTAAAAACTTCCCATTTCAGAATCTCCTGTCTTTCTTGTTGCCTGGTCATACTAGACTGAGAAACCAAATCACAGAGGTTCTTGATCTGGATTTGATAAAACAGGAGGCAGAGAATGGAGCCCTTGAAATTTCAAAGTTGGTTGAATTTGTTATTGGGATGATGGGGACACTCTGTGCTCCAGCTCGAGATGAAGAAATTAAGAAACTGAAAGATATTCATGAAACAGTTCCTCTGTTCAGGTACTGAAATGGCATTTATTAGTCACATTGGGGGTCTCTTAAATAATTCTAAATATGGGGGTGTTTTCTAGCAGGGCAACTTGCAAATCATTGTAGAAAAAAAGAGTGGTAGGGAAGGGGATATAGTTGAGGGTGTGAAGGCGAGAGATGCTCCAGAAGTCTCTAACAAGGACCATCTTTGTTCTGGTGAATTGGAGTATTTGTCTTGCTCCTGCATGGCACTGAAGGATATCCTCTTAAATGTCAATAGCAGGCAAATGGTCAGTTTGTACCAGAATTTACAATCCACAGCAGAAAGGGGGGAAAAAAGCAAGTAGGAGCATGGGGAAAAAGAGCAACCAGGACCATAGGAAAAAGTGTTGCTGTTCTCCAAGCAGCTTGTCCTTTCTCCCCAGTCCGAGCTCTCTGCATCTAGACCCGCTCCCTGTAGAACGTCCTTTCGGTTCTAGAGGGAGTGTGTGTGCCAGATGTCAGAGCAGAGAGGCTCTTCCTTTGTCACCATGTTCTCAGCTGAGCAGCACAAGGTCTCAATAGTTCAAAGAAATTTAATTAACCTTGCTGCTTTCTAATTTGATAAGCTTCCGGGAGTTCAGGAGTGACGTGGCAGAAATACTGCCAGCAGAAATTAGGTTGCCTCAAAATTAAGGTGGTTTTCTTTGGTGTTTATTTATTTTTTTTTCCCCTTGGGTCTGATTATTCACTTTCCACTGAGGCTGGCTTTATAGGCTGCCAACAGAGACAGCATGCAAGCCTAGAAACCCAGGTGTCTTCTTAGGTATTCAATATAAGACCCTGCACATCCTGGGAAATAGAATCTATGGAGCTAGGAAAATTAATTCCATGGAGGGTTTTTTACAGGAGAGCAAGATTGATTTCCTGCTTGGAAGCAGCACATGCATGTGTGTACGTGCTTGCTCAGGCTTTCTCTCTGTCTCATGCTCTTCAACGGTTAAGCACCCCGTTAATGTTTCTCCCATGCATGTTTTCCTTCTTTCCTTAGACAATCTGTAATGAATCTTGTACATAGTACCTCTTAAACATCTGCAGCCTTGAATAACTTTCTCTGTTTGTTTGTTTAGAGCAATTTTCTCTGTATTAGACCTAATGAAAATGGATATGGCAAACTTCGCTGTCAGTAGTATTAGGCCAAAATTAATGCAGCAGTCTGCTGAATATGAAAGAAAGAAGTTTCAGGAGTTTCTTGAGAAACAGCCAAGTATGACTTTGTTCCTTCCTTTCTTCCCTTCTGACCTCCCGGTAAACTGCATGTCTTTGCTTGTACACCATGAAAAGAAATCAGATTTTTTTTTAATAAGTTCTAGAACTTGTATGGTAAATGACAGCTTGTGCCCCAAAACTGTGGTGTGAAAAAATCTGCTGGAACAACAGTTCTGCACTGAGTACACTGGAATTCAGTTTTGTTTCAGCACAGTGTGGGACATAGTGACCTAGTGTTGTGTCACCTACAGCTCCCTGAAGCTGTATTGGTTAGTTCTGTTTCAGATGTTCTGCTTAATGCAGTAAGTGAAGTGCATGTCAGTAACTGATATCATGGAGATAAGTGATAGTAACTTATGGGATTATTTGGAAATTATTGGTTAAAAAAACTAACTTCAAAAAGGAGTTTTCTTAATGATTTGTTTTTTCCCCCTCCTCTTCTAGATTCTTTAGACTTTGTCACAAGGTGGTTGCAAGAAGCAGCAGATGATCTTGCAAAGCTGAGATGTAAAGCGTTGCCTCCCCACTGTAGTGATGATGGTGCCACTGGTGGAGCTTCTGCCTTGTGCTCCACTGCTGTACAAAATCAGGCCTATCTGAAGCTCCTAAAGTGGGACCATGTAAACAGGCCCTTTCCAGAAGTAGGTATTTAACAAAAAGTGGATCTCTATGCTTGTTCTTTTTTGGTTTTGTTTTTTATTTATTTCTGGGGTATAACAGAATCTGTTTGGATTTGTAGCCTTGTAACAGGTGCAATACTAAAACCTTTATCTCATTATTGAGAGCTCTTGTACCTGTCAGGTACCTTCTTCTCAGTATTGAAGCTTCCTTGGTTGGAAAAGATTCTTTTCATTTTGTTCCTGATACTCACCTACCGAGTATGTGTTGCTCTTGTCTGTACCTTATCCTTACTGCTGTCAATAGGTGAGCACCACAGTGTCACTTCACAGCCCTGTGTCCTGACTTCATTCTGTGCTGCCCTCCTCATTCTTTGCAGACAGTGCTGATGGACCAGACTCGTTTTCAGGAAATACAGCTGGAGCTGGAGCAGCTCCTCCTGACTGGGACAGTCCTCCTGGTCACATTCAGCGCAGCCGGCTCGGCGCTGCTCGACGTTCCTGGCTTTGCTGAGAAAATCAAAACCATTGTCAAGGTGCTGCTGACAGGAGTGCATCTCCCGTGAGTATGGAATAGTCCCAGTCACATGGAGGCAGCTGTAGTGGTCTTTTCACCCCACTAAATAAACAGTTTAAGCCTCTCTGGCTGTGGAGCGCAGAGTATCTAGAGGCAGCTGGGAGGGCTTTTTATGAGCCCAGGATGGCAATTTTAATTGTTTATTCACAGAACTTTCTTGTTCTGTTATTTTCTGATATATACATGCTCCTTTTTCCAGAGTACGCTTTCCATGATGCCTGGCTGGCACATGGGAGAGCAAGCAGCTAACCACACTCGCAGCTGGGGCCAGGCTTCCTCAAGAATTAGAGTGTGGAACAGTAAGCTGCTTGCAGATGTTGAGTGATGGCTCTGCACATTGCAGGTGGATAACTGGTTTTGGCATTAATCAGAGCTGTCTGTGTAGGCAGAAAGTCAGCTCTTATTTGTATGGATTGTTCAGGCTGGAAAGCTTTAATGGTATCCCACCTCCTTCTCTTGTATCTCAACTTTATTCTTCATATGTATACATGAAACCTTGTTTATAGTTCTGGCTTTATCTGGATTATGCTTCTTCAATTACATTTGATATGTAAGACAACTATAATTGGATAGTTCATTTTTAAAAGGTGGGAAAAAAGTAACTAAAATAGCTAAGTAATGCTTTACTCCACATTCTCTAGGTCCTTTAACCTGAAGGAAGCTTTGGCTACCATCGGTGAAAAGGTGTGTGCAGAAATGAACAGCTGCCTTTCCCAGCACGGGTTTACGCCCTTCTCAGCCGAGAGAGAGACTGTACTGAAAGGACAAATCCAGGCTGCAGCCAACCCTGACAACACCGTATCCAAGCTGATAGGTATGCTCTGACAGAACTGCTCTGTCCTCAGCCACCCCTTGTCGCTCAGTGCACAGCTGTAGGTAGCACGTCGTGCATGGTTTCTCATTTAACGTGTTTCAAATTCTTGTTTGCTTGCTGTATTTGACATGCAATTACACTGTTTCTGACTGACTGTCTCTTGCGAACACAAACCAAAACCCTTGGTCCAATTTTTCCAGATTCTCGAATTCAAAAGTTTCTGGAGAATTATCTTGCATCTAGTCACCAGAAATCGTTACCTGCTCTTCCTGGAGGATTAGGCCCTATTCAAAAAGAGCTGGAGGAGATTGCTGTCAAGTATGTTCGTCTTGTCAACTACAACAAAATGGTCTTCAGCCCTTACTATGATGCTATCCTTGGCAAAATACTGACTAAGGAAGAATCCCAACTTCTGGGGAAGTCAGAAGAATCATAAAACCAGTTTGTATGCTACCAATATGGTATTGTCAGCTGTTTCTAAAAATTGCACCGATATTTGTCTAGGAAAACAGCTTTCCATGTAAATACTGGCTCCTTTTAATTCACTAGTGATGGCTGATGAGGAAAATAAACGAGATGCAAAAAGGGCTCTGAAGTAAATAATGAGAGAGATGCATTTTTACTGTAAGTATGCAACCTGGGGGGATGTCTGGGTAGTGTTCTGACTGCAATGACTTTTGAGCTGATGCTAGGCAGAGCAAGTTTAAGAACCAAACTTAGTATTTGACTGGCTCATTTTAGGGCATTTTACACCAATTTACCGTGAATTTAGTTTAATTAATCCAGAGCAGGTTAGGAATGGTCCTTCCCAGAAGCGGTTATTTGGCTTTAAAAAAGTCTTTAAAGACTTAAGAAGAAAATTAAAATCCTAGATAAGAGAAACTTTAACAAAGGCAAAAAACAAAGCCAAACAGCACTTTATTGTAGTGTTATGGTTAGTATGGTAGGCTACTAGTTTTTTCTGCATTTTACTGCATTTTTTAATAGCATTTTTTTGCTGTTTACCTGCAAATGTTACAAAACACATGATATATTTTTGTAGCAAATTTTCTGGTTATTGGGTAACTGTCCTCTGCTATGTACAGTACTTACAAAGGTGGCAATCTTATAGATTGCAGCTGTATTTATCTCTTGTAAAGACTTCAGAGGGGCAGAGCTAAAATGTTTTGATAAAAGTGGCATTTCTTACCTTTTTTTTGCTAGTAGTTTACTCCTTTTTATGTGAAATACTAATTTTCAAGTAAATCTTTGTCATTTTTCGGAAGGTGGATTTAAAGTGTGTGAAACTTTAGACTGATAATTTTACTTGTTTTTTAAAACTACGACTGGAGATGGGAATATTTTCAGTATAAGATTTTTTTTGACTTTGTAGAGGTGTTCTTGAAAATTAAAATATTTATAGGTCTTGAATTTAATTAGCTATATCTTGTATAGATGGGTGTTCACAGAAGAGCTCAGTGATCTTACAGCCTTGTTGCAATTTCAAACTCAGCTAGGAGGTAAGTACCTTTGAAGTTTTTCCCTAGTTGAGCACAATGCTGTATTACAGTCATCAAAATCTGACAATTTTATGAAAGCAAAGTTCATAGTTATTAACAGGAAGTGGCTCAAGTACTGGACTATCCAAAACAAAAGAAAACAACACATTCTAAAAAAGACCCCAACAAGTTATGTAAGATAAATATATAAAAGGGCCCTTTCATTGCTAACGTCCGCGTTCATTTTATTAATCAACTGCTCAACCAAAATAATAGAACTTGAAGGAGGCACTTGATCGTAAATCAACGTTGACACTTCCCTTTCCAGTTTTCCTTAAGTGTCAGTGTCCTGTAGCTGCACTAACTTTGAGTTGGGAGGAAGGTGGGATAAACAAGACCTTTTATTCCTTATGAGCCTGTGCAACTACAAAACCAAATCTTTTCTAATTAATTACAAACCACCTTCCCTAAGGGAAACCCCCACCAGAACCCTGCAAGAGATCACCAGCTCAGACAAGTGATTCTTCTCTTGGCTAAACATACTCAGATAGTAAAAATGGATTTCTGTTTTTCAATCTGTCCTTGATAACTCAAAACTGAATAAGTTGTTTAGCCAGAAAAAAAAAGTTCTTAAGGAAGTTTTTGGTGTGGTCCATGTCACTGTTTGAATTGGCAAAGGATACTACAAAGGTCTTTAAAATTGCTGCGTCTGCTTACTGCACTCTGTTATTAGTGCAGGATCCACCTCAAAACACAGCCTACAGCTCTACAGCTCCAAAAAAAGGAATTCAGGAGTCACTGTAGCAAAAGAACGACCAGAAACGTTATTGCTAGAGATCTATAAAAAACACAAAGCTGTTTTGATTTCTGTTAAATGAGAGTTGCAGAAGGTATGAATTGCTGCTGTTACGTTGTCTTTTAGTATTGCCTAGCAGCTGCCTTTAAAGGCCCCTGTGAATTATGCATACTGCAAAAATTTAGATGCTGTAGGGAACATTCTGAAGGGATGTGGGGAGGAACATTGTCATGGTGAAACAACCTACCTAGGAAAGGCTTAGAGAAGTACATGACTGATGCTAGAATGCACAGGGCTGTGTCATCAATAGACAAGATTGTACTTCCTTCATCTAGGAGGTAGCTGCTCCCAGTTCTGGACCTGTGAGTCCAGATGTCCGTGACGGCCAACTCCTGCTGAGCCTGGCGGCGAGGCATGGGCGGTGCAGAGCACAGGGGTCGGTGCAGGGGGTGCCACCTCCCCTCAGGGTGGGGACTTGGTCCCAGGGCTTCACAGAGAGTAAAGCGCAGGGCCCACTTCTGGCTCTGGTGTCACCTCTGGGGGCACACACAGTGGGGAAGAGCATCTTGTGGGTGGGTGTTGTAGGCCTGTCAACAGTAAAGGTCGAACGAGACTCTAGTAAAGTGCAAACCACGTTAGTGATTTTCCGAGGTTGGTGTTTTAATGATAGTGGCTGATGAAGACTTTTTCTATGTCCTCTGTAAAAGAAATAGAGAGACACGATTAAGTGGCAAAGCAAAAAAGAAATTCTAGGATTGAATTCACACCTCCTTGTGAATGTTTGCAGGGTTACACATATGCTGTTTCACCCCTCAGTCTGGCAGATTGGAGCACTGACCTATGGTCTGTGCTGCTGGTGACAGGGACGTTTTCCAGCTTGTCCGAGTATCTGAATTCCCTGTAGTCCACAGGGGTTCTTAGGGTCTCACCAGAGTGCAATTCTGAATCATCAGTTACAAGTTAAAAGCTCAAGTATGCCTAGAAACTGCTTCGGAAGTTCATGTAGTGTTTTTGTTAGCTTGTTTGAAAATAACAGGTGAAACTGTGTATCTAATATCTGAACATTTAGCTTTGTACATTAAGTGGAAGACCAATGCAGTTATCCAGGAACAGACTGTGGCCGTTAGTCCTCCTGAACAATCCACATCAGAAATGTGTACCGAGTTTGTCGTACAGTGCTGTCTTCTTTGAGCAGTCATGGAATTAAAAGCAAAAGTATACTGTATCCTCTAGAAAAATGGAAAAAAAAGCTAATTCTAATATGTACGCTCTGATGAATTTCCTGTGACAGTCTTATTAACATTGCTTTTGAAGTGGCTGAGCAGTATTTAAGAAGTACCTTGTTGTGTTTGAATAAAACCAGAATGAGGCATGATGTTATGGATATCCTTTTATTTTAAAGGAATGTTGGTTTTTTTTCCATTTTCAACTACAAAACAGATTCCATACATTCTGCCATAAATAAAAACGAACAATAAGGCAGGGCACTACATGAACAAACTGAGAACAACTGTTTTCCAGAAAATGTGAATTAAAAATGCTTCACAAGTATAAGCCATCCAGTTTTTAAAATAAAACTGTTGAAAACCCACAAGATTTCAAGTGGTAGATGTGAACACCCTTGAAGAACAAAATGCAGTTTTGACATTTTGTACTTTTGGTTTTGAAAACCTAGTTTTGTTCAGGGCACATTCTAAGGTTGTTCTGGCTGTTCTCAGATCAAGAACCATAGGGGAGAAGAGGCACCACAGTAACAAAACCATTTTCAAGATTTTTTTTGTTTGCAGCTGTCCCTTTTAAATGCTTGACTTTTAAGAGACTGACGGACTCAATGCAAGTCTTTGTCTGTCACAGTAGAACTCCGGGCTTGTTTCACCGGATCCTCTTCTGCTGTCGTGCTCTGTAAATGTCATGTACAGGGGGAACTACGGATCCTTTCTCCTCCTCGTCGTCAGAGTCCTCGTGTGGTCTCTTGGCGGCCTTGTTGAGCACAGCGTTATTCTCCACAGGTCCATTGCCTTCCACGGCTATTTCAGGTAGGCCTCCAGTAATTATTCGGACAGCTTCATCAACAGCTTCAGACAGAGAAAAAGATGAATTTAATTTGTGAAACTAAACTCCCTGATTAGAACCAAGCATGTGAACAGGGACTCCAAGGCAGATGCATTGTGGAGATTTCTGGAACATGAGACCTCTTCCTACCCTGTTCTAGAAATGTTAAGAAATAAGTCTTGACTGACTAAAACTCTGAGCTATGGCAAACACTAATTATAAAGTAAATGCTGCTGCTTCAGCTTGAGACATCCCTTTGCACAAGTATTGAGGTCATCTGCAAGCTTAATAAAACAGGAAAGCCTACTGGGGAAACTGTGTAACTAGTTTGTGATTCATCAGAAGGTAGGCAGAGGAGTCAGTTTCTGCTTACCAACAGAGAAAGCTTCAAAAGTACCATGTATCATTTAAATAGATGGTTTATTTTCACTCTAAAGAAATGAAATCCTAGCTTGGTTTCTCTCAAATCATTTGCTCCTTAAACTAACAGATGTGGTGGAAAGTAGTGCATTATCAGCTGCTGTAGTCTACACAAAGCCTGGAGTGCGCATCTGTCCTGTTTTTATATTTCAGAAAACAAAGCTCTGTGAATTGTTCTTAAGCACTGCAACAATTCTCATTCAGAGTCAGGCCTGCCAGTGAAGTTACCACACTGCAAGTCTGGACTTTAATGTTACAGTTATGATGCTGCCAGAAATGACTCTTTGCTTGTTTTAAAGGATAGTCTGAAAAAAATCTTCATTTCTTTCTTTTAATGGTTACCACCAAAATGTTATTTAAAGTAGGAGCTGGTGATTTCCATCCAGGTTTTTGTCTTTGGGATGATCTCCCCACAGTTAAATGGACAAACTCTCTGTACAGGTTCCAACCTAGGGACGTAGGCAGTTCAACAGCATACTCTTAAATAATAATTACACATCTGTAAATGAGGTCTGGATTTTAGACAGCGATATGCACATGTAAAACAGAGTCATACCCAGCACCATCACAGACTCCAGGGCGAACAAATAACTTACTGTCTGGCAGTTTGCATCTTCTGAATATCTCCATGAGCTCATCCACTTGAACAAAGGGACCCTGATGTGTTACCGGAAAAAAAAAGTTTAGAAGATTATTTTCAACAGAGCAATAGCATACTGTGGTTCTGGCAAAAGAGAATCTCTTCTACAGCTTTTTGAAGTTTTCAGAATTCATTAAAACAAACCTGAAAACAAACAGGAGGTGGCAGGAGCTTCATGAGAACTACAGCTGCTGGTGGAACAGGAAATACACCTCCCGGGACAGGATGTAAACCTGGAGCTGTGGGAAGAAAAACTATGAAGCCAGGGCAAGAAAGCCAGGCTTGAACTGCTTCTACAGCCTTATTATCTGGTGCAAATTACTACCCTGTCACTTTTACCTCTACTAATTACACATCTAGTCAGTGATCTGAAGTCTACGAGCAGCATGTGTAACAGCTTATCATTTACCAGACCCCAAACTACTTGTTTTTATTTCCATGTGACCTTCCCATTAAGTAAAATATGCCTTTAGCAATCCAATTAAATAACAGCCTAAAATTTAAGCACCTGTTTAGATGACTAACGACTGGGAAGAGCCTGTGATTAGCTTCACCAAGCACACAGGTTAATACCTGGCTGCCAGGTGAAAGGTAACCACTTCTGGCTGAACATCTGACTTACGTGCCAAGTGTCTTGGCTGAAATGGGATCATTTGTTGAGTGTCCGGTTTTGGATATTCAGGTTTTCTGTCTACTTCATCTTTGAGAACAGGCACAATGGAAGGTGCAACCACAGGGTCTGGAATTATCGCTGCCAGCTTGGCACGGGAGACATCCTGCAAAAGCAAATTAAAGAGCACTGAACTTGGCAGGATCACACTGCTTGTTTGAATTAGAATAAAATATCTCTCTACACCAGTTGCTTATTCTCACGTTGTCATCGTTGTAATTTCAGAAGACCATCTGGGCAAAACTTGCAGCATGTTTTCATCAGACATTTAGTCCTACA